CAGCTTGAATGACAAACTATGCATATATATATATATATAAAAAAATTTTGGTAAGTTACAATGCATACATACATTTTACTAGGACCACATAGGTTACTTGCCATTTACAGGTGATCTTCATTGTTATATCTTAATGTATTATCTTTTCTTCCAGATAATGAGAGATCCCGAGACAGGGAACTCCCGTGGTTTTGGTTTCATTAGTTATGATTCATTTGATGCCTCTGATGCAGCAATTGAGGTAGACTGTCCTTTTACCTCTTTGCTTACCAATCATAACTTGAACAGCTATATGATATGTTGCGATTTACAAGTCCAGAGAAGTTCAAATATAAGTATTAGCTATTGCTTTGACTTGGAGCTTGTGATGTGTGTGAAGATCTGTCTTCTTTTTAAGTCTGGATTATAAGTTAAGATACATTTCTAATCAGACTTGAGAGGATAAGCTATTTGCATGATATGGAGGTTATGCTGTGTTAGAAATGGAGTATTTTCCTGTCTGGTTTGTACTATTATTTAATCTGGTTTAATCATAATACAATCACAACATTGGTGCTTCCTTTCAATGTCTGAAAGACAAGTCAAATGGTTAACCACTTGACTTAAGTAGCCAAATGGTTAAGTAGTTGCCGCAATCAATTGTTCTATATGATTTGAGATTGTCTCCAAGTTAATGATAAAAGGGTTGAGTTTGGAAACCTTTTGCCCCAAATTATCCGTGTCTGACTTTGTATAGGAGATGGAAGCTTGTGTTTCTTTAAAAATTGTGTAATTGAACAATCAGATATAGTAAAAGTTGTACCCCTCAAGTATAGTTAGGTATGCATGTATATACGTTAATTGTTATTATGGATCACAGTTGTGACTAGTGTGTAAATACTTTGAAACATATACATGTTTCGTTTGCGTCCCCTCCCCTTAGCCTCAAAGTTTGCATATCTGCTTTAAGGTTTTAGTATAATAGTAGTGTCCTCGGGACAAAATAACTTTAGTTTTACCTTGCTTATATAATACTCCCTCCGTTTATGTGTCTTAGTTTGATTCGGCATGGAGTTTAAGAAAATGAAGAAGTCTTTTAAATCTTGCAGTCTTAAACTAATGATTTGTGTAATGTATCAAAATCTTAAATATGCCATGTAGGATGTCAGGTGTGAAATTTTACTAAATATAGAAATTGACATTCTTTTTGAAATAAACTAAAAAAGAAAGTAACACAAACAAATTGAAATGGGGGAATACATTATTCTTGGATTAAGTGCTAAAATTCATTGAGTCTCTACGTCTTTCCTTTTTCCTTTCCTTCAGCACCTCTCCTTTGCCTCAGAGTTTGCATCTCTGCGTTAAAGGTCCTAGGATTATAGCTTGACCTTGTATCTAAGGGACAACAACTAAAAGGAGAGTTTTCTCATCTAATATTGGGCAGTCTTGAGTTTAAATATCAGTTGAGGGATTAGGAAGGTCACGTTTCTGATGGTTGTGGTAGAAACAAAAATGAAGAAGTTGGAAAATTAGTGTACAGGATGCAATATGAGTAATACCACAGAAGTCAGTACATAGGATCTGCAATCAATTCCTGACAGCATCTATGGAGAATCATTCTGATATGCATATTTTGGACAGTTTGCTTAGAATTCATAGATGTTTTGAAGACAGAATTATCAGTTTCTTTTGTGAATTTCAAATTTTTGCAGAATTTGTTTTTGTGGTGCGAGTATCTGGCTGTATATGAGTGTGAGCAACTGATGGACTTCCTAGATTCCCTACATTTTTAGGGATTCTGATACATATTGTGAAACCTTATGAGGCACCCTCTGGGTGCTGTGGCAGTCTGATAGCAATAAAATATCACTTACAAAAATAGTAGTGTGCAGGATGCATCTTCCAAGCGTTGAATATCTTATCTCAGACAAGTTTAAGTGGTCAATGTGATGATTTGAACTGTTTATTATTCTAGTGCCTAATTTGTAACTTGATCTAATTGGCACCACTAAACCAGCTTCTTGAAGTCCTGTTAAATATGAGGACCCTGCTATTGGTAAAGATACAACTTCTCCCATGTGGTGTACTTGAGTTCAAACTTTGCATCTTCATCTGACATTTACTAGTTTACATGTTTGGAGAACTCTGGATTTTTAATGTACTGTTGCTTTTGAGGTTTCAAATCCTTAGTCCATGCCAGATGCTTTCTAGCTGATGAATCTGGACTGACTTCCAACTTGGCGTTTCTGCAGGCAATGAATGGTCAATATCTTTGCAACCGCCAAATTACAGTGTCCTATGCCTACAAGAAAGATACTAAGGGGGAACGTCATGGCACCCCTGCTGGTAAGAGTTTATGTTTATGATAAAGAAGTTGAGAATGCTAGGATGTGGATACTGTCTTTGATCAAGATTGTTGAACTCTGTTATGCTTGTGCGATCACAATTTGGAAATGTCATTTGAATTCAAGTAGTGATTTGGAACCAAAAGCCTGTAGAAGACTCGGTATTTTGAAATCCTTCAAAGTGGGTAACAAAGGGAATGAGTGAGGTGTTTATCAAAATGCACGAGTTGCTATTATATGTCTTCTCGGTGTTTTGAATTTCAGGAGCCTTATTATCTTTCTTTTTTTAATTGTGTAATCATTACTTTTCTAATACAATTCTGATTTGTTGTGGATGATATGCAGAGAGGGTTTTAGCTTCCAGTAACCCAGGTACCCAGAAAAACAGGCCTCACACCATGTTTGCAAGTGGACCCCCAACACTTCCCGGTGTTCCACAAGCCAATGGTGCGGTTGGTGCTCCCATTCCCCCACGGCCTTTTGCAAATGGTCCTATGCCTCCAGCTCCTGTTCCAGCAATCCGGCCACCACCTATGCAGCCTAATGTCTACCCACCAATGCAGATGCCTCCACCACAAGCTTGGCAGGGACAGCCTATGCAACCAGGTGCAGCTGGCATTCCGCAGCAGCAAATGCAATTCATAGGAATGCCACCTCCGCCTCCCCCACAAATGGCTCCACCTCTAAATAGGCCCCCTCCACCACCAGCTGCAATGGGTGGTAATGTTTGGCGTCCGCCACCACCACCACCACCTCAGCACTTTAATGGTGGTCACCATGCTATGCCCCATATGTCGATGCAGCCACCCCCTCCACCACCTGCACCCGGTTGAAAATTTGGAACCCCAAATTTTGTATTAGCTTTGATGTATTCATTTCTGGGATAACATGTTTTTATACTAGTGCATACTCTGTAAAAAAGTGTAACGTTGAAATTTCAAAGTTTATGCCGAGGATTGGTTTGATATGGAACTAACTTTTGCTTTTGACCTCTGTTATCGGAGACGATATGTCCGGTATGATTGTTGAATTCTGTGAAAATGCCATATACATGTTAAATTACACGATAGTGTAATTTTTTTTGTAATATATATATATATATATATATATATGCAAGTTGATGATTTAAAATTAGATACTAAAATTTAATTTCAGTTTAGTGAACCCTCCTTTGCTTTTTACTTGTTCAAGATACTAAAATTAGATTTTTCTTTTTATTTATCCATTTTAGTTAATGAAGAATTATAATTTCCTCTCAATATTAGCCTTATTACATATAACTACTTCCTTTAGTTCCTTTTACTTGTTCTTACTAAAATAGTTGAAACGAGTATATTTTTTTCATTTGCCCTTAGTGGTAAAATTAATAAACATTGAATAACTAGTGCAGAAATCAATGATTCAAGGGTTAAGGTTGACATTTGCAGCAAGTTGAGAAGTTGATGTACGAATATAATATTCCAACGAAGGGGTGTAAAATGACAACCCTTGACAACGGTGGCTCCACCACTACTTCCACCTTTCTAAAGAGGTCCTTCATGTGTGCAACTATCACCTTCGCCAGATTTGATTATGTTTAGAGTAGACTGTAGAGTATCGGAATGGACCAGTGGACTCAAACAAGAGCTAGATTTTGAGGTTAAGTTAGATCTCTATGACCAGTGTCATAACTTAAAAATGGTATTAAAATAAGGTTCCTCTCCATTTGGACTTCCGATCAATGCTCCAATTGGGCCTGGGTGTGAAGGGGTTATTAGAGTGAATTAAAGTCTCACATTGATTGGAGAATGAAATAGTTTGCTTATATGGACTAGATAATTTTCCCCTCATGAACTATCTTTTGAAATAGAGTTAATCTCAGGTGTCATATCAGTCATGTCTTGACAGATAATTGCTAACTTTCTCTACTGCTTCTCTGTTAATTGCACTTTATTTGTCTACCCCTTAAAACTCATAGCTGCATCTAAGCTGAAATAGGAAAAAAAAAATCTGCACAAATAGATAGATAATCAAACTTGGATGCAGAGTTCAAAGTTTCTTCTTCTGTTTTCAGATTATCTGCAAATGCAAATTGCAAGAAGCTTTTCCTGAGAATGATGATGGTACATGCAACTGCGCGGCGCTTTCCATAAAAAATGTCTTGAGAAAATAGCAGGTTTGTCTGAATCCTCTATTTCTCCTTTTCTTCCAATCCTTATGCATCAGAGCACAACTTTACAACTTCTGTTTAGCTATACATCTGCAGGGTCATATTTTATTTATGACAACTTATTCCTAGAGAAATGATAATTTGCAGTCCCATCATATGATGAAGGCTGGTTTTGCATATTTTGCAAGTGTAAGAAGGAAATAGTAGAAGCAACAGATGTTATAGTAACTGAGAGGTTGAGTAATCTACTGTGACTTTCCATAAATTCACTTGTTCACCCCTCCAAGAATTATCTATTAATCAGGGTAAGGAGTCGTTATGCCCTGAACAAGATTGGCCATCTGACGATGACTATGATCCCAAAAAAGTTGCTAGTCACAGTAGTACTGATAGTTGAGAGTGAAGCAAGCAGTGGAAGCGTGTTAGGATCGATCACATGAGGATGAATTTCTAGCTTTAGCTGGAAAGCCAGAAGATGGGCAGCAGTGGACTTGCAACAAAATATAATGTACAAAATTGTAACCTTGTGTGTAGTAGACCAGTTTCAGTTATGCTAATTGACACAAACTAAAAATGTGGCTAAATGAGTTCAAGCAGTATTCAAAATTTTATGTGATCTCTAAGTGCCTCATGAGCTTGTTGGATGCAAGTAGGTTATTGCAACAACTAATTGTAACTAGTACAAAGTACTTTTTTCATCTGCTAAATGATACTAATTGATAATCTTGTCAATAGTCATAAGCCATATTGCTAATACTTGTTTGCTGTGTACTAAACGTTGAACAAATGGATTGTAACGTACTTATTAATTACCTTCCAAACCTTGCTCCATTAGCAGGAAAAACACTTGCCTTTCTTGTGATCAACGGAATTCTTTGAAAAATAAACATTGGAGTCTTCCTTTTGGTTTTAAAACTGCACTTAAAATCCCAGAATTTCCTCAGCAAAGTGTGAAGGTAATTAAGAGAGAAGATAACTTCAACAAGTTAACGAGCTACTTAAAAACAGTTTGTGTACTACTCGAGATTGTGATAGGTTAGTAGTAACCACAATCATTCTTTATCAAAAGTCTTTTAGAGTTTTTCTTGGTGCGAATAGAAATCAATTAAGACCAAAGCAAATACCAAACACTAGGTGAAATTCCAAAAGAACTAGTCACTGGTTGAGAGCTCCCTACAAAGTAATCTCAGAACTGTTACTGCTTGGCCTGTTAGTTGCTAAGCTCAAATAGCATTAGCCTTGGCCCCTATAATTAATACAGAATTGTTACCTCATGGCAACCAAAATGACTGTTCAACCTCAATTACACAACCTGCTAAGCCCCCATCATACACAAAACTAAGGACATCAGCAAAAAGCAGAAAGTTCTTCCCTGTGTGTGTCAAAAGGAGATCTATGTAATCACGTGTTCTTACTATAAAGACTAGCTTGAATAGAATAACAACTACTATGACATATTCTTACTATAAAGACTAGCTTGTATAGAATAACAAATACTATGACATAGAAGAAGGCAGCAATGCTGAAATAGAAGATTATGCTTTGAAGGGCAAAGTAGCTTACTATTAAAAGCATTTAAGAATTCTTTTGAGATGTGTCACAATAGAAATGAAATAGAACACTCAAAAGCTAAGGCAAAATCTAATATCAGAACACTGGAAAGTAAGTTCAACAAAACCTTCAGGAAGTGTGGCCCTCCTCAGCGGCAGCTTCAAAAGTTTCACCAGCCACAAGTTCTGGTACATCATCATCATCTTCCTGTGCTGCAACAGCACCTGCAGCCGCATCTGCAGCACCAGGTACCTGCTTCTGGAACTGCTCAGCCAACTTCTTCAAATTCTCCAAATTATCAGGACCTGAAAATTGTAATTTTCAACAGTCAAAACATATACTTAATTGTTTAAGGTTTCTCACGACTCAAGTGTAGGCCTAAAAAATGGCACATACCCAGCTGGTGAATAATTTGAGGAAGAATATCCTGCAATTCTGCAAGAGTCAAGAAATATTGCTTAGAAATTCTTTTGCGCGTCCCCAAGACATAGTCAAAAGGAGTTAAAACCGTAAGGAAGCACAAATCCGCTAACAATCAAGGACTCATGTGTTATAGACCCAACAGAAAGAATGCTAGTCTCATAATCAAATTTGTTTTGTGACATAGTTATAACTAATAAATCATATGTTGAGGTTACATTCAAATGGTGCAAAGCATGAAGAAAGAATAGAGCACATACTCTTTGTCTGGGGGGTTCCACTGACAACCCATGTATTTGCAGCAATTGATGCTTGAACTGAACAGAATCCAAAACAAAAGGTTATTAGAATGGCAATAAAGCGACGGATGACTAAACTATGTGAAACACAGATTATATTAATACCTTTGGGGTTACTGAATTGGATAACAACATCCTCTTTGAAAATGTTGACTTCTTCAATAGCAGGAATGGCATTGACACCTATTCTTTTCAACGTGCTCTGTAGTCTTTTGTCATCGGTTGTAGTTGTCTTGTGTACGGCTTTCTTCTTTCTGCAGAAGAAGCACTAATTCAGCAAACATGAATGAAAAAAATAAGATACCCCTTTCAATACACTTCTCATGTCCCCTTTCTCTCCCTTCCTCACTCAATTTGACCCTTGGACAAACACTACTTAGTCATTACTAACTTAAGTAGGCGTTTGGCCATTAGATTCCAAATATTTTTCATTTTATTTGTAATTTATGAAATTGGAGATGAAGATGGAGTTGGAAGATAGGTTTGGAGCACTTTTTCAAACGTGGAATCAAACTCCAAGTTAGAATTGGAAATTTTATGATCAAACACTCATTTTGTAATAAAGTGAGTAACTCTTTAAGGAAAAAGGGAATAATTATCATGGAAAAAAGGCTCTCAAGTAATTGAAATCTTTTAAGTTAGCAACAAACCCACATTCTTTCTCAATACATTAACACAAACTATTTTCATGTCGCAACAGTCACAGAGTCACAGAGTCACAGAAACTACAGAAAACTAAACATACCTTCTCATGGTACCCTTTCCACCGGTTCTAACCGAACCGGCCATCTTTTGCAACTTTTCTACATTCATCTGTCCCAGAAAAACACCAAAAGTCAATATTTCTCAATAACAGGCAACAAGAAACTGGCATATTTATTGCATTTGTAACAACCTCCATGACCATAAAACTACACTAAACCACATCCAGAAAATTCACAAGCTAAAATAATAAATGCTTCTATATAAGAAGCTTAACACACAAGCATACATGAATGTTATAGCTAACAACAAGTACCAACTTGACAAAGACAAGACTAGGAAACAACACATCCATATTCTAGGGTAAACCAGTTTTCTAAAATATTAAATTGGTCATTGATATGCTAAAAGAAGATAACAAAATAATAAGTCTCCCTGCAAACTATAGAAAGACAAAACAGAACCACTTCAATGCTTAGAGCTGCTACCAAAATCAAGAAGTAAAGAAGTATCATTAAATAATTGGTCATTTATCCCCTTATGTAGTTATAAAGTATGAAAAATTCATTTAAAAATTTTACAAAATCATGTCCAAAATCCACATAAAAAATACAAGCTTCATCCTTCAAAAATCAAAAGTCCACCATTCTGTGTCATCTAACAGAAAGAAAAATCCCCATTCTACCATACACACAGTTCTACTATAGAAAGAGTATACAGTCAAAGTTCCACCATAAAGCTAGCAACTTTTTTTTCATTTTTCAACAGATTAAGATCCAGGAAACATAAACCAAATCTAATTAATAACATCAATTCATCCAAACCCCATCAACAATTCCAATCCAAACATAACATTCAATACTATTACCCAAACAAAAAGTATACACTTAACACACAGAATTTATCATAGACATGTACAAACAAAGAGAGAGAAAAAAACCAAGAAAATCATAAAATTGGACACCCATTAGAGAGATTAGGGGGTAGGGGGAGTCATAGAGAAGCTAACCTTGTGAGGAGAAGACTGAGCTAAAACCCTAGCCGCAGATAAGAGGGAAAAAATGGAAGACAGAAGGAGAGTTTGCTCGGGTGAAGATAAAACTATATATCGTACTATAATGTGAGAAGTTTTCAGTTTCCGGTTTTGCCCTCAACACTTTTCCAATAAATACGTATGTATCCCCTCCTTTTTTTTTGCATTTTTCCTCTTGGATAATCGAAAATCGAACTAAATCGAGAGACTATATTGATATTTTAGTTTAATGATTTCATTTGGTTTTAATTATAAAAAATTTAAAATGTTTGATTTTTCAAAGATATAAGTAAACTAAATCAATGGACATTATTGTATACATAGCTTCTATATAATACAATATCTATTAATGTGATAAATACATTCTAATACAGTTTATAAATAACTATATAATTTAGTGAAGGTTTTCAATACTTAACTAATTTGGATCAAATGAGAAACTTATGGGTTACAATCCCTTCTCGACCTCTGAAAAATCCAAAATCATAGTCAAATGATAAATCTTGATGAGACGAATAAAATGTACCAAAAATCGTCTCAACTCTGAGAAATCTCAAATTCATGCACAATTACTCGAGTGAAATCTCAAAAGCAAAGTGCTAGTCATTTTCAAAATATTTCTCAATCAAATTCTCTTCTGATTCATGATGTCTCACCTATTGGGAATAATATGCCATCAATAAATTTATCTTACCACAAATTTTCAGAAGATTCTTGTTGTTTGAGAAGTATCAACTGGTAAAGATTGAAGAAATTTCATTTTGTATATTATTATATATGAGTGTATAGATACTTCTGTAATTTTGGGGTAAACTAGTTTTCTAAACTATTAAATTGGTCATTGATAAAACAATATGGTTACAATTTTGTTCCTCATTTGATTCTTCTCTCTTGTAATTTCTCTGTGATTGAAGGGTCATAGTGATGTATTTCTCGAACTAGGATGAGATTTATTTGATCTGCAATATCTTTTGAATATTCCATGACTGTGAATATTCCATGAATTTGCAGAATATTCGAGATGTCTCTTCTAAAGGAATATATTACCCTTTATATGCATGAGTTGGGGTTTAGATAGAGTAGCCTCTGAGAATTCTAACTGAAATCAAATACATCTTGTAGAGTCCCATAAATTTTCTATGTCTACTCTATCAAATTAAAGGTTTTTGAATCTTCGTATCCTCTTGATGCCGAAATACACAATAATGCAAATTTACATATCGGCGAATCAACCCCCGCTAATGCACTTCCTTAGCTTGACAAGATATCTCTAGTTGTTGATTTTTTATCACTAATTGTGCCTGAAATTGACTAAGTATTTAAACATCAAAGGCTGTGAAATTTTTTATGTGTTGAATATTTGGAGGAATAAAGGGAACAACTTGTGAAGGAATAGAAGGAACAGGTTCTTCATTGGAAGACTGGTTGTTTGAGCAACAATCGGAAGCTCAATTGCCCTAATACCATGTTGATGTTGGATATTTTGTAATATATAGAGGTTTTAAATTGAACAGACATATTTGTTAGTGAAAGAACATGACTATTATAAAAAGTCATCTGTTCATGAAATAAGATGACTATTATGAAAAGTCATTTGTTCATGAAAGAACATGCCTGTTATAAAAATTCATCTATTAAGTTTTATAAATATAAGGACTCTCCAGAAGTAGCCTAAGAAAAATATACATGTATATACAAGGATTTTGTTATATCCCGAAGGGAATGACTTGTATTTTCCCCAATATGTATACGAGTAATATCTCTTTAAGGAAAGTGATTCTTCATGCCTCAAAATTATCATCTTCTTCAGCTATACTTCCTAAAGCTATGGACAGTAATGATGGTTTAGATAATAACTCGAAAGAGATATTCAAACTAAAGTTTTTGACGTCTCTTCTTTGGGGTTGAAGCCAATGGTCCATGGAAATACTTAAATTGGTGTTGTATACTATTGTAGAGTGGACAGTTAACATATTTAGCAGCATTTAATGCATAATCATCATACCTATCAAATCTAACCAATATATGTCGACGTGCAAGCCATAAGATAAGTTTTCGAAAAACACTTTTTTGAAAAACAACTTCTATCATATCAGACACTCATATCAAATAAATAAAGAGTAGCTTGCCTTGTGATTACAAATTTATATAGAAGCATAAACTGGATAATCAGAATAAACTTGATCAAATTCATTGTCATGACCATGATAAAATGAACAACAAAAATATGAAGAAAATCCTAAGAGATCTTACCTGAAAGCCAATATGAGCACAATAATATGAAGTGTATCACATAAATGTTAAGGTAATACAAAATATTCTGATAAATTAAGATGCAATATAATCAATTTCCTATATGATATATTACCAGTCAAACAAAAGGTTATGTAATGACAGGGTAAATGGGTTCGATACTCAACAAAACAATAATTTCAAGTCAAGAACTGAATAAAAGCCTATAATCTAATATAGGCCGTTAGTTCCAAATGAAAAAAACAAAAATAAACCAACAGCCCAAGTCATATCAAACAAAATAATCTCCAAAAACATGCAATTTCCATTTGAGAAAATAACTTTTCCACTGCAAAGAGCCTAATGGAGTTGTCACTGATAGACACAATAGCATTGGATCATCATATTGATGATTCGTCTGAATGATTCTCTATCTTGAGAACTGGGCGTTTGATGCTCTTGCCACCTGCATATGTAGGTTTAAGGTAAACTATCGAGGAGATTATGAGTGTGACGGTATTTTTTTTAAAAAAATTAAGTCATTACTAAGTTTTAAAAGAACATCAATGTGGAAAACTTTTTTTACCAAAGGAGGAAAATGACTACTTCAAGTATATACATTAATCTTTTTTTAATACTAAAAAATTTCATTAAAACACTATCCGATTTGAAAAGGGCTCGTTTGATTTGAAATAAGTAAAGTTAAGATTATAGTCCCAACCAAACATAGAAAAAATGAAATTTAATCCCGCGTCTGATATGGATATATAATACAAAAATGATTTAAAATTTATACTAATTTTACCTAAAACCAATAATCAAACACAAAGTATATGTAATACCAAATTAGATAGAAGCACTATCCTGATCATCAGAGTAAACTTAATCAAACTCATTGCCTTGCTCATTAGGTAGGTTAGCACTTGGAGGTCCAAGATTCTGGAAAAGATAATCCATATTATTGAAATTTAAATATGCATCACAATTTTCCTTCTCATTTGAGTTACTCCCTTCAACGTAATTCTCATACGATGCCACATCAGTATTTCTTGGACCAGACATGATTGGTTCACCAACATGTTGTTGGGCATTTGCATTCACATTTGTTGCTCCCAGTCCATTAATAGTAACATTTCCAACATAAGTATCAGACACCATTGCACTACTTGAATAAGTTGTCACATTGTCCACAAGGACATTCAAGTTGTAGTTATTAATTATTGCATTTCCAATGTATGTACTAGACACTATTATGCTACCTGAATATGTTGCTCCCTGTGCCACATTGAGATCAAAGCTGTAATTTTTTTTAGTATGATTATCTCCATTGTTAAGTGTCATACTAGGCCTAAAATTAATGTTCCCAATAATTGAGTCTTGTAATCCCTGTGAACCCAACATTTCAAATAATGGTCAATATTGTTGTTGTAGCCCACCACTAGCATTAGCTTGGGGAGACAAAAATGAATTATTAAATGAATTGTCAATGCTGAGGTAATAGGTTGAACCTGAAATGTGTGGGTGGTAGACTTGATTTTGAATTGAACTCTCTCCTCGAGCAAAAATATTGCTGGTATTATTAGTAGGAAATGGAAACTCTGGGCCTCTGTGGATTTGATCTGGGTTCCATTGTTGATTTGGTACATTTGCGTGAAGATAAGGCATTACCCCATATTTTCGAAAGCTACTTCTTGTTTCTTGAGAAACATTTGTGGATTGCTTTATTGATAGGTGACGCATATATTTTCTCTCTTCTGGAGATCTCCAATTGTTGCGACGACATTTCTGAGAGGTTATATGAAAACAATAAAAAAAGAGTAGGCCATGGATATATTTATCATCGGTCTCATTGTTATTAGGTGTATTTGAAATGACTGGAGTCATTTATAAAGATTTATTTTTTTTATATTTGGTAATTAGTGAATGATAAATTTTTTTCAAATAATATGAATTAAAGATTGATAGTAATATTATTCCATTGAACTATAAAATAATAGAAATTAGCAACGAATAATTAAATTCTATCAGTAAACATGTAACAAAAGTCTATCGTTAATCCTTTTTAACGAGTGAGTGCTTTGATAAGACTTTCAAGTACTAAAGATTGATAGCAATGTCTAATAGTTTACTGACAAAAGTGAAATATAATTAAATTTTTTTCTGCTTTGGATACAAATTAAAATTAAGACAGTTGTAATAAAAATAATCACAAAACCCTTTGGTGAAAAAAATTGTCCAAGGAAACATTTTCTAGCAATCAAATACGAGAAAATAATGATATAATTGTTAATTTTTAATTTTGCAAAATAACTTTCTCCATACTACACACGTACAAATGATACATAATTTACCACTTAGTTTTTTTTAAAGATGTACCTGCAGGTGGCTTGCAACTTGCATCCTAGTAAGACCAGGCAAGTTCATCACTTCAAGAATCTTCTTGGGGTAACATCCTACATAATCCGTAAGAATGTAAGTTTAATTTAATAACCATAATATTCTCATATCAAGTTGTGATATATCTAAATAAGAAAATCACTATGCTTTAATTCTAAATAAGTGGATGTTAACTATACATATGAACTCTTATTGTTCATATCGTTCCATATAATTGAATTGTCAAAAAAAGTTATTATTGAAGTAAACTTATGTCCTTCTCCAAGTTGGTGTACAACTTGCATAAATCTGGCATGAAGATCCTCAGTCTATTCTCGGTAGTCCTTTCGCCTAACAATTGTATCAATAACATTGTTTTGTCTTTCTACTTCGTTATTCTCTTTCATATTTTTTGTACCTCTCTTCCTATGTAGCGTGTATTTTCCACTTAATACAACATCGCTTCCAGCCTCATGAATATTATTGCTCTGTTCCTTAGTATAAGAGACATTTTTCTCTTCGGGTTCTTTATTTTCTCCAACAATATTATTAGTACTGATATCAACAAACTTCATATGATATTTATGTTTTCCTGATCCTTTTCTCGCTTTCTCTCTTTGTATTTTTTCACTCAATACGAATTGCCACAAGTATCTCACAATTTCCTTGTCAAATGGCTTTTTAAGGTAAAGATAAGCTCCATCTTCCAAAGTCTTCTTTGCAACAAGTTCATTGAATTCATCACATACAACTGCATAATTATTTCAAGAAGCTATCTATCAGAATTGAATTAAATTATATGTACAATTAATTTAATGCTTATTTACTAAATTTTATTAACACTAGAGATGGAAATGCGGCGGGGCGGGTTGAGCTTAACCCACAAAACTTTGAACTCGCATCGCATAATATTTTTAATATTTTTTAATTAAGTTTGATACTAAAAATAAAATTCATAAATATACTTTATTTTCTCATTAAGTTGTATTAATTTAATAGATATTAACTTAAAATTTTATTTTATAGAGGTCAATAAGGAAGCATGTAAGAAACCGCATTAGTTGTGATTGAAGCATATTTATTTACTTTCTTGAATATTTTAATAATTAACTTTAAAGAAACTATCTTAATAAATAATGTTCTATCACTCTTATAACATATAAAAAGTTAAAATTGAGTTTGAACCCGCATAAATCTCATAGACCCACAACCCGCCCTGCCCCACCCCACATTAATTTTTAAAAAATCCACTTCAACCCGTCCCGTATCCCTCCTCGCCCCGCATAACCTTAAAATCGCCCCGTCCGTCATTGCCTTAAATCTGCCCTACATCCGCTTTTCCCCAATGTCATCCCTAATTAACACTAATATTACAAAACAAATCGTTTCTCATATACTAAAAAAAGTAAGAATTAGTAACTGATACCGCTTAACCATAAAATTCATTGCTAATCCTATTTAACCATGTATTATTGGAAATCTTTTTAGCTACAAACTACATAACAATAAATTCACAATGAACTTTATAGCTAATTCTTTTGTAGCGTATTAATTAAAATAACTGACTTTACATATAGTAGATGTCATAAGTGGAAGAGTAGAATAAATACTAACCGAGTGAAATTATATCCAAAGCCACAGCTTGAGCTAAGAGGGCAAAAGAAAGAAGGTTTGATGAATGGACATTGAGTATCATCACATCGATTATTTGATTTCCTTTAGAGAGCAATGACACTGTTGTTGAAGTCGTATCAACTGTTATAACTGTATCAATTCTCTTTGAAAGTTAGTGAACAAAATTATACACAAAATTATCATGAAGGTTATTAATTTCTCATAAGCAAATTCATTTATAAATTTTAGCTTGCATTGCAACAATTTAGTTTATGCAATTGCACATATTGATCAACTTATATTATATTCAATGTGAGCAAAATATTAGACATGTTCACATAATTAAGCTTTATACTACCGTTTTATTTAGGATAAAATTGAATTATAGAATAGAGAAGATCATATAGGAATATATTATTAAAAAATCAATTCTAATTAATTAGCGAAAAATTTCAAGTTGAAATGATTTAACACATAATATTTTTTTTTAGATTTAACACATATTAGATAAGGAACAATTAATAAATACTAACACAGTAAATGAGAAATTAAAAAAAAAGGGGAAAAAGTCATAAAACAGACTAAACTACACTAAAATTGTTAGTTATGTACTTTTTTGCAAGGTGAAATAATTTTAGAGAATCATTGTTTTTAAATAATTTACGAGTGCGATAGTTATAGAATGATTTATTCTTTTAGAATATTCTGCAAAATTGTCTTTTGTCTTCATAAGTTAAAATAGAGGAAGTAATTGAATGACCATTAAGGTAGAGCCAAAAAAAAAAAAAAAAAGATATAGGCAAGTACCCAGTAAATTAGATTCAATTTTTTTTTCCTTTTAAAATTAAGAAGAAAATTAATAAAATTAAAATATTTTTAAATTCAAACACGTGTATATAAAAAGATATTAGTATAAAAATGAAAAGATACAATTTCTTTTTGTAGAATTACACAAGGAAAAAAAAAACTCTTCGGAGAAAGCAATTTTCAATTAAACAAAAAATAGGGAGAGAAATATTTTTATTTTATTAAAATCAAATCTTTTTATTTATTTTTGTCTATATTCGATATTTTTTTTATCTCAAGGTCAATAATAATGATAGCCAGATCGGTCTTATCTAGCCCTTTTTTTAGTTTTGCTCTCCCCTCTCGTTACCCTAATCTTGCCTAGCAAACTTATTATTTTCAAAATAATCTATAAATTGATAAAAATCAAAGATCTGCCTATTCAAAAATTAATTTTGTGGAAATCATTTAATTTCTCCTCTCACCGTATGTCACTCCGGACCAATCCCCCCACACACACATTTTTTTGGTTTTTTACAATAAAGATCAAATGAAAAACACAAGTATAAGTTGATTAAAATAGTTAAAATTAACATAAAATTGTCTCCCTCCAGCGACATCTCATAAAATTGCATAAAATTATCAAGCCTTTGTGAAACATCATTTACATCTTTGTGGGGAAAAGCTAATCAAGTGTGTGATATGCTTATACTATGAATAAAAAATAGAGAATCTAATTGATTTTTATAACTGCACAAAATACATATATTGGCTAGAAAAATAATTATACAAACATATAAATAGTGTTATAATAACAACGAAAAGAGAAATTCAAGATTTACAAGATACATAAATGAAATCGAAAAAGAAATCGAAGTTAAAATCACAAATGAGATAACAAACATCATATCAAATTTAGCTATATCAAACACCTAAGGTTATAAGTTCGCTATATGTATATTTTCTAAGATATCACCTTTATAGTTGTGAGACTTTAGCAAACCAGTCATGTGAGTGACAAACTCTTTGTCATCATCAATCAGCATCACCCAAACTTCTTCGATCATACCATAATAGGGAGTTGCCATTGAATTATTTGATAGTTTGAGAATTTTCTGCTTCGAACAAGGAGGAGATACAAGAAAATAGTAAAAAATGTAGAGAACCCTTAACACTACTTATATAGTACCTCTAATGACTAATAGCTATGTTTAGCGTTGACCGTACATATAATTTTTATTTGATTTATTTAATTTTTTTCCTTTTTTGAGTCTAGACAAGGGTATACTTTTGACTTTTTTTCCTTTTTCGTTTATGAATTTAATATGGAGCGCAATATTTTTCTTTAAAAAATCAATTTTCATTTTTAAAAAAAACATTTTCAATTATAAGAAGAATGACTTATGTCACTCATGGAATATGAGTGGGTAATCATTTCATTTAAAATATTTAATAGTTACGCTCTTACTTTATCTCAATCGCTATAATCAAACTCACATATTATTATCAACCATTATATTCAAAAGCTTCATAAAATATTATCTCCTTATCATATCATCTACATTGGATCATGACTAAACTTTGAAATTGATCTAAAAAACAACTTTTTCTAGGTAGAATAATATATATATATATATTCGTATATCATACACAACCTTAATAATTTTGTTTGTAATCCATACATTAAAGAATATAAGACATCAACATCTTTTTTACCTCACTTAGAAATATGCAGTACTATTAGGAAATTATTGAATATTTATATTAATTTTGCCTAACTTTTTTCTATATTTTTCTTTTTCTATTACAAAATTTTATTACTTGCGAACTTCATTGTTAAATCAACATATATCTAGTTACTTTCATAGATATATTTTATAATACTATTGAGGACAAAAATCAGAGCAATATTAGTTATTGGTGGAACTTCAATCTTAATAATTTTAAATCTCATGTGTGACTTAGTTAAGATGATTCATATAACCTTAATTAAAAAATTGAAACATATAAACACTCTTTAAATATATTAAGTTACTGTTGATAAATTCTTTGATTGCTACAAAAATTAGTTGTACATGTAGTAGTTTAATTTGACTATTAATTTGTTATGACTGTGATTAAAATTGTACTCATAGAAGTATCAAACATGAAATCCTATTGATATGTGTATTTACATATTGTATAATATGTTTAATTTACTTCCAAAAAATCAAAATACACCATTAGTTAGATATAGTTATCTTAGTATTAGTGTTATAATTCGATAGCTCTCCATGTCTAATAATTCCCTCGCCACCACCTTGATATTTTTCAATATCAATAATATCTTTGGACGATTCATCTTTTTTTTAATTGTATTCAAAGTATTAATCATTTTGCTTTCGTCATGCCCATGGTGTTTATAGAAGGGGCAATAAAATGACAAATTATCATACACAACCTTTTGAGAGTATTCCACAATTCGTTCAAATTTCTCATGGACATATTGTAGTTTTATTCTTGACTTTAACTCTGGCTCTGGTAGATCTCGACTTTTCTTGAATTACTTTATCAATCATTGACTTGTCTATTGCAGAAGTTATGGACAATAATGATGGCTTAGTGAATAACTCGAAATTGGTTGTAATCTATACATCAAATAATTTGGTTGTAATCTATACATCAAATAATATAAGACCTCAACATCTTTTTTACCTCTGACTTACAAATACACAGTACTATTAGTAATTAAATTATTGAATAGTTAAATTAATTTTGCCTAATTTTTTCCTATGTTCTTCTTTTTCTATTACAAAATTCTATTACTTGTGAACTTCATATGTTACTGTTAAATCAACATATAATTAGATATACTTTACTATGCTATTGAGGACAAGTTCTAGGTGTATTTGTAGAATTTTGATTATAATCACGTACGTTTATAGGGGTACGGATAGATACAAATATTATTTATATCTATATCTCTTTATACATGGCAGAAAATCTCTCTCTCTCTGTATATTGTGTAATTCGTGTATGATCATTGTATAATATGTGTATAATCAATGTGTATAATAATAATAAGGACTAGAACACACGATCTCTAGAAATTTTCACAACGTCCCTTTAACTTATCAAAAGGTGGCAATACTTTTACTTATATATATATATATATATATATATATATCAAATCAAAATTCAATATCTATCTTGAATTGAATGCAGCTTTATAGTGACCACAAGTAGACACAACGTGATCTTCAACACCACTCTTACTAGCCACAATGAATTTGTTTCCATCTCTATTCGCGTCTAATAATTCACTCGCCATTACCTTGATATTTTAAATATCAATGATATCTTTGGATGATTCTTCTTGTTTTATTTGGTTCATTCAAAGTAATCAACATTCACTTTCGTCATGTCCTTGACTTTAACTCTGGCTCTACTAGGTCTCGACTTTTCATGGATGGCTTTATCAATCGCAATTGGCTTGTCTATTGTGGAGACTAAGGATAGTAGTGACGGTTTAGAGAATAATTCGAAAGAGATATCCAAATAAAAGCGTTTGACATCTCTTCTTTGGCATTGAAACCAATGGTCCATTGTAGAGTAGGTATTTAATATATTTAGCCGCAACTAATACATAATCATCATACCTTCCTCTACAACAACTTGTTTTATTTATTCCATAATTGGGGAAAAAATGTAATGCCAAAATACGAAGAAAATCCTAAGAGAGCTTACCTAAAAGTCAATGTGAGCACAATAATAAAAAATGTATCTCATAGATGTTAAGGATACACCAAACATTATGATGCAATATAATTAGTCCCACAAATAATCGATCCCATATACATTATATCACCGTTAAACCAAAAGGTTATAAAACGGTAAAATAAATGGGTTCCATATTGAACAAAATAATAATCCCAAGTCAAGAAAATAACAAAGGTCTTTAAACTAATGAGGGACATTAGTTCCAAATGGAAAAACAAAAACAAACCAGCAATCCAAGTCATACCAAACAACATAGTCTCTAAAAACTTTAAAAATGATTTAAAGGTTATACTAATTTTAGCTAATATCAATAATCGAAATATATGTAATCAAATTAGATAGAAGCATTAACTTTGCTATCAGAGTAAACTTGATGAAACTTACCGTCTTGTTCATGAAACTTAGCACTCAGAGGTTCATGATATTATAGGAGATACTCCATATTATTGTAATATGCCTCACAATCTTCCTTCTCATTTGGATCACGCCCTTCAATGTCACTCTCATATAATGTCGCAATAATATTGCCTGGATCAGATATATTTGGCTCACCAATATATTGTTGAACATTTGTATTTGTTGCTCTTAATCCATTAATAGCCGCATTTCCAACATAAGTATTAGACATCATTGTTTTATCTGAACATATTGTCACATTGTCTGCATTCACATTCAAATTGTATTGATTAATTGACACATTTTCAATGTCTATATCAGACACTATTCTTCTACTTGAATATGTTGCCCCATAGGTCGCATTGAGATTCAAGTTGTAAGCACATTGAGCATGATCATGATCCCCACTGTTAAACATCAGGCCAGGCCTATAATTAGTGTTCCCATTAATTGAGCCTTGTAATTCTTGTGAACTCGAGATTCCAAATAATGTTTCATGTTGTAGCCCACCACCAACATTATTTTGGTCCAACAAAAATGAGTCATTGAATGGATTATCAATATTGAAAGAGTGGGGTTGAACCTGAAGTTGTGGGAGATTGAATTGTTGTTGAATTGAATTCTCTCTTCTAGCAAAACTATTGTTGGTATTGGGAGTTGAAAATGAAAACTCTGGTCCTTTTTGGATTTCGTCTGGGTTACATTGCAAATTCAGTACATTTGTTTGAAGTCGAGGCATTGCCCCATATTTTGGAAAGTTACTTCTTGGTTCATGAGAATCATTTGAGGATCCCTGTCCTGATGGGAGACAAACATATCTTTGCTCTTTTGGTGATCTCCAATTATTGCGACGACATTTCTAAAAGATGTCATAAGAAAACAATTTAGACCATGAATATATTTATCCTCTGAACCCATTGTTGTTTAGGTGTGTTTGGAACAACCAAAATCAATTATAAGAGTAAATTTTTTTGGTGTTTGATAATAGGTGAATGATGAAAGTTTTTTAAAACAATATGAATTAAAGACTGATAATTATATTGTACCATTGAACTACAAATAATAGAAATTAGTAATGATTAATTAAGTTCTATCCGTAAATATTATAACAAAAATCTATTTCTAATCACCTTTAATGAGTGAGTGTTTTGATAAGACTTTTGAGTACTAAAAATTGACAATAATATCTAAATATTCACTGATAAAAGTGAAATAAAATTACAAAAATTTACTTTTGATATAAATAAAAATTAAGTTAGTTGAAAAACAAATAACTTCTCACTGAAGTGTTTGATGAAAAAATATGTCCAATCAAAACGTTTTCTAGCAACCAAATTTGAGTAAATAACTTCACAATTTTAAAAAAAAATTATGTTGCAAAATAACTTTCCTCGTACCTTACACACAAATGATACATAATTACTACAATTTTTTTTTTAAAGATATACCTGTAGATGGCTACCAATTTGAATTTTTGTAAGACCAGGCACTTGCATTAGCTCAAAAATCTTCTTGGGGTAACATCCTACATGTTCCATAAGAATGTAAGTTTAATTTAATAACTATAATATTTTCATATCAAGTTTAAGTACATGTAAATACAACAATCATTATGCTTTAATTTCATACAAATTGACGTTCGCTATAAGTACGAATTTTCATTGTTAATATCGTTCAATATAAATGAATTATCAATAAATTTAATTAATGGTGAAGTGAACTTACTTCCTTCTCCAAGTTGTTGTACAACTTTCATGAATTTGGCATGAAGATCATCAGTCCATTTAGTTGGATACCTTCGCTTAACAACATTTATTTGATCTCTATTTTTTTCTGATCCTTCTCTTGCTTTTCCTCGTTGCATGTGTCTCTTCAATACAATTTGCCATAAGTATTTCAAAATTTCTTCATCAAATGGCTTTTTAAGGAAAAGATAGGCTCCTCCATCCAAAGTCTTTTTTGCTACCAGCTCATTGAGTTCATCACATACAACTGCATAATTGATTTGAAAATCTATTAATTAAAATTGAATTATATTATCAATTATATAAATAGTTAATTTCATGCTTACACTAAATTTTTATTCAATATAACAATAATTTTACTAAATAATTCTTCATCATATACTAAAAATAGAAATTAACAACTAATAATTTATGTCGCTAAACAAAAAAGATTATTACTAATCCTATTTAACGATAGATTGTAGAAATTTATTTATCTACGAATAATTTAATGATAAATTAACACTGAAAGTTATAGCTAATTCTTTTACAGTGTATTAATTAAAATAACAGACTTTTCCATGGTAGACATAATAAGAGAAAGACTAGAACAAACACTTACCAAGTGTAATTATATCCAAGACCACGGCTTGAGCTAAGAGGTCAAAAGAATAAAGGTTCGATGGATGGACATTGAGTATCATCACATCGATTTTTTGCCTTTTTTTGCAAAGCATTGACATTGCTGATGAAGTTGTTTCAACCGTCACAACTGTATTAATGCTTTATAAAAGTCAGTGAAAAAAAATTGTATCACAAAATTATCATGAAGGTTTGTTTATTCCTTATATACAAACTCAACTATGAATTTTTAGGTTATATTGCAACAGTTTAGTGTCTGCAATTGTGTATATATATTAATCAACTTATATTTTAATCTTAGACACATTCACGTAATAAAGCTTTATACAATAGTATTTAGGATAACTACTTGGATTATAAAACCAAAAAAGATCATACAGAAATATATTATAAAGAATCTATTCCAATTAACTAGTAAAGAAATTCAAGTCAAAATGATTTAACACACAATGGATACAGAACAATTAATGAATACTAACAAAGTAATTGAGGAATAAAAAATAAAAAAAAAAAGGGAAAAGGCCATAAAACAGTCCTAAGCTATACTAAAATTGCCAGGTATATATATTTTTTGCAGGGTAAAATAGTTCAAGAGAATAACCATTTTATGATAGCTTCCGGATAAGATATTTATAGCATTTCACCCTTCGGGGTGGCCCAGTGGTTTGGGCTTGAGACTTCCATGTTGGAGGTCTCAAGTTCGAAACCCTTTGCCAGCGAAAGCAAGGGGTTTGCCTTCTGGGTCGAGCTCGTCGCACCGGGCTTACCTAGTGTGGGTTACCTCTCCTATGTGGTTTGCGAGCTATTGCATAGGAGTGGAGTTTTACCCTGTGCGCATCCAAAGGGTAGCGGCTGCGGGTTTCCCTTGTCATCAAAAAGATATTTATAGCATTTACTTGTTCTTTTAAATTTTTTACTGAAAATTGTCTATTTTCTTCAAATATTAAAGTAAAAGAAGTAATTGAACGACCATAAAGGTAGAGCCAGAATAAAATTATAATATATGGCAAGTAGTCATTGAACTAGATTCAATTTTTTTTTCTTTCAACGTATGGAAAAAATTACAACAAATACCCACTGAAATCCTATAAGTGGAGTTTGAAAAGCGTAGAGTGTATGCAGGTTATATAACTACCTCGTGAAGGTAGAGAAACTATTTTCAAAGACCTTGATCACATCCACATCTTCCTAATCAGGTCATGCCCTCAATAACTGAAGTTGTGTCATGTGCTATATAATCACATCTCCCAAATAATTTTTTGGCCTACATCAACCTCTCCTCATGACAACTACATCTAACCTCTTGCGCCTTCTCATTGGGGCTTCTATTCATCTTCACTTCACATGTCCAAACCGTCTCAATCTCACTTCCCTCATCTTATCCACCACAAAGGACACTTGTATCTTACTCGGATAACCTCATTCCTAATCAAATCGCTCCTAGTATGACCACATATTCATCTTAGTATCCTAATTTCTAGAATATGCATCTTCTGAATATGGGAGTTCTTAACTGGCCAACACTATCTTCCATACAACAACTTCAGTCTAACCACCACGTTGTAGAACTTATTTTCATGTTTTGGTTGTACCATTTATGACGCAAAACTCTAAAGACAATCCATCACTTCATCCACCCCGCATCAATACGATGTGGATTACAGAACTGAAGTAGTTGAAATTATCTTTCTTGAAGATAGATTGTGTGTCAAAGCTCACTTCCACACCTGCCTCATATATGGCATCACAAAATTTGCACTTCATTACTCTGTTTTGTTCCTCCTCAACCTGAACCTCTTGAACTTCAAAATTTGCCTCCACACTTTCATCCAAAAATTGACTCCACTACGAGTCTCATCAATCAGTATTTTATCATCTGCAAATAATATACACTGGGGCACATCTTCTTAAATATATCGTGTTAAGATCCATCACTATGACAAACAAAAATGGGCTATCCCAAGTAGGAAGTAGTCTGACTCCCATCCCATTGTTCTCACCCAAGTTTTAGCTCCATCATGCATGTCATTTATCTTTCTAATGTAAGTTATTGATACACCTCTATCCTCCCGACATCTCCACAGGACTTTCCTCGAGGCTTAGTCATAAGCTTTTTCAATGTCAATGAACACTATATGTAAATTCCTATTCTTTTTTTGATATTTTCCCACCCGTATCTCAAAAGATGGATGTATTTTCTAGTCGATTGCCCGGGCATGAATCTAAACTAGTTCTCAGAGATGGACAAGCTCTTGCTCATCCTCATCTCCACCACTTTCTATTTTTAAAAAATTGCGTGACTTAACAACTTGATGCCCCATTACAATTTTGAATATCATACTTATTCTTATACAACAAAACCATTGTACTCCACCTCTATTTCATAGGCAATTTATCTTCCTTAGGTATGTCATGAAACAAATCAATTAACCACTTCATACATGTTTTATTTGTGCTTTTCCAGAACTTCATTGAGATCTCATCAAGTCTGATTGTTCTTCCTCGCCTACTCATCCTACTAATAGTTCTGTTAACCTCTTCAACTTTAATACACCTACAATACCTAAAAATTATGATGCCAAATCTCTCAGCACAATGTCCTTGTATCCTACTTCATTTAATAGTTTATGGAAGTAAACTTGTCATCTTCGCTTAGTGAGGGACTCTTCCACTAACATCTTGCCTTCTTCATCTTGATTCAGATCTTGGGTCTTCTTCTCTCTTACCTACACGAGCCTATACAATTTCTTATCTTTGTCCCTTAGTTCTACAAACAATTGTTAAAAAGTTGTAGTCTTTGTTGTTGTTCGCTAACTTAAAATTCGTCTTTACTATCTTATAAATTTTCTTATTCGTTTTCTTTTTCTTCCTTGTCTTTGCATTCCACCAACTTTTTGTAAGTAGTCTTCTTTGCTTCCACTTGTCTTGGAATTCTCTATTCCACCATCAATTTTCTTGGTGACCACTTGTAACGGTTCATCCCACTAGTGATATTGTTTGCTTCGGGCCTAGGCATGCATGACTTTAAAATGTGTCACTAGTTGATAAGATATACTTACTTATATACCCAATATATTTTGTGTTTTGTCGATGTGAGACTTTTTATCTTAAGTTGGAGTGTCACATACACCTTCTCTATGAACTCAATGTCCTCGTTGAGATTTGCCCCACCGCGTAGAATATTCCTAGACTCAACATTGAAGTTTATCCCGCCTTAACGAGATTTGTCTAAACTCAGTTAAACTCTGGCCCCATCAACAAGGCTGACACAAGCATAGCTCTGATACCATTTGCAACGGTCCAACGCACTAGCGATATTGTTTGCTCCAGCCTAGGCCCCCCACAACTTTAAACACATCACTAGTTGGTAAGGTTTGCTTATTTATATACCCAACATCTCTCATGTGTTTTGTCAATAAGTTATCTTAAATTGGGGTATCACACCACCAAAACTACCTCTTGACACTCGTAATATCTCTCTAGTTGATTTCCTAATGTAACTGGATGTCTTAATTTATTTTATTTTAAATATCTTAAAACTCAAGGTGCACCAGTGTGGTCAAAGGAACGAAATAACATGTGTATATTAAAAAATATTAGTAAAGAAAATTTAAAATGCAATTGTTGAGTTGAGTTGCAAGGAGAAAAAAAACTCCTTGAAATTAAGAAATCAATTTTTAAATAAACAAAAAAATAGGAAGGAAAACATTTTTTGTTTTGAGAAAATCACATCTTCCAACTCTTTTGGTCTACATCCAATAAAAAAAACTATTTTTATCTCAAGGTCAATAATAATAGCCCGATAAATTTTTATGTTCGTCCTTCTCTTACTTTTTCTCTCCCTTCCATTATTCTAATCTTTTTGTCTTCACCCAAGCAAAATTATTTTAAAAAAATAATAGATAGCTTGGTAAAAAAAATAAAATTATGCCTCTCTATCTCTAAATCACTCACTACCAATTTACAAAATAACGTTTTCTCATTTTTCTGCAAAAAGATAAAGTGCAAAACCTCAATGATTAAATAATTAAAATTAACATAAAATTATCTCCCTCCCAATACATCCGGTAAAATTGCAAATTATCAATTCTTGTTTTAAAAAAATCATATATATCTTTGTGGAGGAAGCTAATCAAGGGTGTTACATGCTTATAGAAAAAATAAAAAATAGAGAATATAATTTGACTTTTATAATCACCCAAAACTCATTTATTGATTAGGAAATAACATATACAAGCATAGAAATAGTGTTATGACAATAAGAAAAGGTGAATTCAAGATTTACAAGTATATAAATGAAATTTAAAAAGAGACCGATGTACAAATAACAACTGAGATAATAAGTATTATATCTGTTTAATCTATTATAAAAAGAAATCACACAAGTTTAATTGTATCAAAATATTAAATGTTATAACTTCATCATATATATTTTTAGAAATGTCACCTTTATATTCATAAGACGTTAACAAAGCAGTCATCTTTTTGGCAAACTCTTTGTCATTATCCACCAGCATCACATGAACCTGATCAATCATACCATAATAAGGAGATGACATTGAATTGTTTATCCCTTCAATAGTTTGAGAACTTTCCGCGGCAGACTTAACAAGGAGGAGACATCAAAAAATTATTTGATATATAAAATTAGGTTAAATTTGTAGAGAAACCCTTATACTCTTTTGATAGGTGTTTATATAGTACCTCTACCGACTGGTGGGCGTGCCTAGTGTTGACCATACAAATAATTTTTATTTGACCTATTTGATTTTTTTCTTTCTTGAGTCTGGCATACTTTTATCCTTTTTTTTTTCTTTTCCTTCCACAGATTTTATATGAAGCGCAATATTTTTTTTTTGATAAAATCATTTTTCATTTTTCTAATTATTTTTTTTAATTGTAAGGAAATATGACTTATGCCACTTATGATTTATAAGTGAGTATTCAATTTCAATTAAAATATATAGCAATCACGCGTTTTTACTTTATCTCAATTTTATTTCAACCATTACTTACATATTATTATCACCATTATAATTCAAAAAAGTCATAAAATCATTATCTCCTTATCATATCCTCCGTATTGTATAATGACCAAAATTTGAAATTGATCTAAAAAATAATATTTTAAAGATAATTTCTTTTATTTTATATATATAAAACACAACTTAAATAATTTCGTTGTGATCTATACCTTAAAGAAATATAAGATATCGACATTTTTTTTACCTCCCACTTACAAATAGGCAATACTATTAGTAAGTTACCGAACATTTAGATTAATATTGCTTAATTTTTTTTTCTTCTATATTCTTCTTTTCTGTATATTATTTATATGTGACTTAGTTAAGATTATTCATATAATAATGTTAATAGTAACAAATTTGAAGCACATAAACTCTACTAAGATATTTAGTTACCGTGATAAAAAAATTTTAGGGAAAATTACGTAATTACACGACTTTATCATTTGAATTAATTACAAAAAAAACAAGTTTTTGCTTCTCTCTTAACATCTGGATAAATCAATCCATTTATATATGATACATTAAAACTTTATTTGTGTACAATGTACCGGTACAAATGTTATTGTTGATACATAACCTCAATTATTTTGAACCTATATTAATATAAATCTGGTTTTAGTTATGTATCTAATGCATAACTCACATGTTTGATACATAACTTATGTATTATTTGTTATATATCGGGCAAAAAAGCAATGTATTTTCAAATTCTAAAAAATCTGAAATTATTGTAATTTAAAAAACTTTCGAGATAGAATATAACTAGCACCTAAATTGTTGGGATTACTCTACTTTATACAAACAAAAATTATTGTTAGGAGAAATACAAATTGTACTTATAGTAGTTTAATTTGATTCTTAAATTATCATGACTTTTTAAAATTGTGCTAATAAAAGTATCAAACTTGAAATCTAATAATGTCTTTTTACATATTGTATACTATGTTTAATTTCCGTCCAAAAATAAAAAACTAAATAAACTATAGAGATCATTTTTCTGTATTATTTAATTATCTATTCATTTCAATCTTTTGTTTCTTTAATTTCCAACTTTTCACATGACATGTTTAAGACTATAAGATTAAAATATTTTTGAAACATTCTACATATCTTTAATTTTAGGCCATAAAATTTTAAAATTCTTTATTTTCTTAAATTTGTGTTAAGTTCAAACTTGACAAAATGAGATTTTTAAATTGTGTACTCATTAAAACAAAATGTGTGCATAAACACATCATTCACCTAGAATGTCATATATACAAGTATTATATGAAATGTAAACAAAATAAATTATTATCTTAAACACTAACATATCTATAATTACAAAATATCATAAAAGTAAATTAATTTTCTCATTTTTGAAGAACTACAGAATTGAGTGTTTGTCACGACTCAGATCGCCGTGATTGGCACCCACACTAACTCTCCGGTGGGAGAACCACTACCACTACCCGACTAAGCAACTTAAAGAAGCTAAACCATTTAAAGATACGGAAGCAGGTTTAAATGACGAATTAAATAAGGAGTTCTCATAAATTTCAAAAGTTTAACAAAAACAACTACGTATAACCCTCGCGGAAATTCAACCCCTAGACCTGAAATTTGTACCAAAACTCTACTAATCAACAAGTCCAAGAAATGGGGGTGTGACCACGAAAACTAAACATAAACAAAGTCTGAACATATAGTCTAAGTCCAAAAAGAATGGATTAAACTAATGATGGATCCATGACAGCCTGAAAGAATAGGCTCACCCTTGAATCCGGTCTCGGTCAATGATCTCCTAACTAAGGTCTGTCAATAGCCGCCTGAAGATGCCCTGTACTCAACAAAGAAAGAGCAAGTGCAGTGTCAGTACACGAAATCACAGTGTACTGGTAGGATCACGTGGCTACTCTAGTAAGCGAAATATAGGCAAGTAATTACAACACAGTAAACACACATATACAAAATGAATAATTCAATTATCACTTTATGAGCAACATACAATTTCCCAATATCAATGACAGGTAAATATGAATGTAATAATCACAAGTGGTTCTCTCATAGAACCCACACCCAAACTGTTAGTGTGTCAGAACGCGACACCCGATCCAATATATATAAGTGTCGAAACGTGACATCCGGTCCAATATATGTGTCGAAATATGACATCTGGTCCAATGTACGTGTCGGAACGTGACATCCGGTCCAATCATCACAACCACAGTCACAATCACACCCATAATGAATAGTGCACCCAGTCACACAGTCAAGTAACAAATTCGTGGCATGTAATTGTTCACACTTAATCATTTCCTTAGATTCGCTTCATGTTTCCCTATTCATATACATGACAGGACGTCGAACCATCACCTACCTCAAAACCAAGCATGGATACTCCTAAGACACTTGAGTCTTCCCTTTCCGGAGTCTTGCAGCTTGTTCTTGGTCTAAAACAATTAATTAATGTAAGGGTCAATAAACAAGGCCTAATTTACTTGGATTATATCAAAATATCAACCCAAGGCCAAAAATCATGATCCTAATGCTCAACTAGGACTTTTCCCATCATTAACTTCAGGCCAAAACCCTCCCCCAACGATAATTAACAAGGATTCTAAGCTTTAAGAATCGAAATACGAATTAGGGGAGTAATTAACTTACCTTTGGCGTGAGAATTCGTGGAAATTTGATGAGAAACTGCCCTAGGTCGCCCCTTAGCTCTTAAGAACGAAGTTTTGCAGAAAATAATGTTTTTGGGGTTTTTCCCCGATTTAAGTCGCGATTGTCCCGCCACAGCAGCCCCGGCCTGGCAGAATTAACCCCACCCTAACGACTTGCACGGAGACAGAAACTCGAATTTTGAGTTCCAAGCTCCCATTTCGCAACACACCTTCAAACCTTGCCGTTCAAAAACTACCGTTTCACGCCAAGATCAGTTTCGGGAGTTTTACTCGCCCGAATTCATTTCCGTAAAGCCGTACAGTCTCCTTAATGTCTTGGATATCCACTCACGTGATCAAACTCATAATTAAATCCCCCACCCATTACTGGATTACCCTAGACCTCAGTACCTGACTCAGATTTCGTCCAAGTCTGGCCTAGACTAGAAATTTCCAAGTTACTATTCAGAAGTTTTCTGGCCCAAATTCCTTCCCATTGGCTTTTTCCATAACGACGAGAACAGGTCATTACAGTGCTTAAGAGAGTGGATAATACTAGCTACTGAAGCTCTGATCAAAAGGATAGCATGTATAAGCAATACAAGCATTGCCAACATGAGTTATAATGCAGTGGTGGATCTGCTTTATACTTAATCATATGTTTGAGATTCGAGTCTTGAGTATGGAGAAAATTATATCATGTTTTCTACTTTTTAGCCTTACTGAGTATAGACTATAAAAATAATTATAAAAATAATGAAACAAAAAGTAAAAGAGGATCAAATAACCACAGTGATTTAATTATCACAAATATAAGGGTAGGAAAAATATCAACGCAAAAGGAAAAACATAAAAAACTTGCTTAATAGACAAAGTTTTTCTATTTTTTAACTTTGTAATCAGAGATTTAATTTAAATATATAAAATTCAATCATTTTTTTAAAAAAAATGACGTCCTTGTTTTATTATTTTAGAAAAAATAATTGAAAATATGGAGAAAAATGGTTGTTCCTTTGACTTGATCTTGCGAATCCACGCATATCTTGACAAATTGTGAAACCCCTTCTCTGTTGAACCAAATCTCTGGCTTAAGCTGAGGGGGTTCATCATTATAAATTACAAAATTAATTCAATGTGATTTTTCGATGAAAGGGGATCGAACGAACCCCTGAACTCCATGTAGCTCCTTCCCTAAGAACAAAGCATATTGTTTTGATTTGCACTAGTTTATAATTCTACTACTTTGATAATTAATGAAAATCTTCATAATTACAAAAAAATAATAATTTATAATATATTTAACTACAACATCAAAGTAATTACATTTATTTATTTTTATTTACATGAGTATTTTATCAATTTTAATGATAAGTACTCTTTTTTATATATATATATAATGTTTATTTAGTTAATGTATATTTTTATAATTACTGCATTAATACAGCACATTGACACGTAGCCTTCAAGTTCAGTTGAGGGCAATTCTTCCGTGTTCCTCATCCCTTCAGTATAGCACTCCCTTTGTTTACAATTTATCAAATCTGAACCGTTCATTTGGACAAGATTAGCGTAGACGGTTCAGATCTCTCACAGCTATCCTCAATCGTGCGTCCCACCATGGTATATATTTCTACTCCTCTTCACCTTTTATAGATCTCGCCGGTTTCCCTCTTCCGTTACAGTTCGCCGGAGAAGTACAATTCTAATTTTTCCGATCGAGACTTTGTTGGAGCCGGAACACTGGAAATACTTCGATCGGTACCTATATATGTAATAATCACCAATTCACCATTATGCTTATTATCTTGTATATCTTCACCACTGCATGTGGGAGTGTTAGGGTTATGTTTTAGACTATTTCTGTTGGATTATCAATGTCTTTTTTTTATGTAAACGTTTCAGTGAACTGATGTGTGTTGAATTGAAAATGTTAACATTTTGTATGGTTTTGGAGAAATTGATGCAGAATTGTATGAGCATTGGTTGCAAACTGGAGTTATAATTGTAGTTTGATTGTAAAGGAAATTGGAAAAGCTTAATAAATCTTAGCTAAGTGAATGAGTGTAATAGCTGGTTCTTTTAATGTTATTGCAGTGCAGTTGCAATGAGTGGTTGGCTATGTGAAAGCTGTTTAGTACTCTGAGAAGCTCGTGTAGAGAGTAAATGTGAATAAAATAGAGTTTCTGTGACATAGGAGAATCAATACGCAATGGTTTTATTGCTATTAGGAACTAGGAGGAATTAAGTTGCTAGGAATGAACTCACACTGAAGTGGTCATATTGGTCAACTGCATTCTGCTTGTGTTCGACTATAGTTTCTGATATTCCTTCGTTTATTTTTGGAACATCTAAATTATAGGATACCTGGTTCAACGCGCTTGTGCATTATAGAGAAACTGATACTATGTTTGGTTGTCAGTATGAATATTTCCAACTTTTAGTGGTCCATTTCGTCTTTCATACTTCCTTATGAATCGACTGCAATTCATAATTGGAATTTGATGTCATTTTAGGTCGAATGAATGTTAGGTCTATTTGGAGCAACTCATGTTATTATCCCTTCTCCACATACTTGCTTGACTACATAAATTTTTATCAAATTAGTCTCAAGAAGTATCATCAATTATATCAATTGTAAACTTGGAACTCCCATTGTCGAATCATAATGTTCATAATTTCTTGTAAAAAAATTCATAACATTCATAATTCTTCTCTTTAACAAGCTTAGGTTGGTCATATCAATTGTTAGATGGAATTAGAACTAATATCTTTTTCTTTCTCTTTTTTTTTTTTTTTTGGGGGGGGGGCTTGAATTTTAAGCACTATATCAAGACCTTCCAAGCATAATACCACATTCTTGGAATTTTAATATCCTGCAGATGATGAACAGAGTACCATTTTAGGAAGAAAGAGATGATTCGAAAAATTAAACCTGGAGTAGATACATGATAACCCAGTGTTATTGTTTACGGCTTGTCTCAAACAGATGTTGACCCTACATTGAATAGTTGATACCTGATAAACTAGTATTACAATTTACAATTGGTCTCAAACTTGGAAAGGTAGATTGACAAGCTAGTATTATAGTTTACAACTTGTCTCAACCTTAGAGAGGTAGATACTTGATAAGCTAGTTGTATTGAGACTGTTTTTAAGATTTATTGTTGATTCAACACATTTCTGAATTACGTTCTGGGCTCTTTAAAGTTTTCTATATTGGTCAAGTCAATTTTTTTAGTTTTGCTAAATGTTCTCTCTTATATCCTTAATCTCAAATAGAACTTGAATAAGAAAAGGAATGTTGCAGGATGTCATTCACTTCGGGAAAAAAAAGATTCACGATTAATTTACCTTACATTACCCCTTTAGTAACTAGCTTAGAGTTTCAACAAAAATTCTTTCCTCGGTAAAATCTCAAATCACAATCTTTTTGTTGTAATCTTTGCAGAACTTGCAGTTCTGAGTGGCTAAGTGAATCCATAGGAAATGGCTTATGATAACTCCTCCACGCTTGAGCCCAAACGTTCCCATCAATGGTTCATGGATGGCATCGAGCCTGAACTGCTTCCCAACAAGAAGCAAGCCATTGAAGTACCTAATCACAGTTCATTCTCTGGACTTTTAAGTTCCAATATTGCCCCCTGGATGAACACTCCTGGTTTCCACTCAGCACCAGGCCAATATGCAGAAAGGCAGTTTGACAATGACAGCGCAAGATCGCTCAGCTTTGATGACAACAGTGTTCCATCCGTTGGCATAGGCAACATGAATATGTCTAGAAAGGTGATGGAAGATCCATTTGGAAGTGATTCCTCATTTGGTTTATCCATATCCCATACACTGGAGGATCATAGATTAGGTCTTAACTATAGTGGTATCAGAAAGGTCAAAGTCAACCAGGTGAAGGAGGCTGAGAATTTCATGCCTGTGTCAATGGGTGATATCTATACCAGAGGGATCAGCAATGCAATGCCAACAGATCATGCATTTAGTAAGGCTGAGGATAATTGCATAGCTATGGGGCTCTCTTTCAACGGAGGTGATGAGCATCTGATGTCATTAAGTGACACATTTAATAGGGAAGACAACAGTTTCATATCTATGGGTCAACCTTTTAACAAGGTGGATAGCAATGAAATATCAGTGGGTCACAGCTTCAAAGAGAGCAGCTTACTATCAATGAGTCACCCTTTTTGTAAAGATGAAAGCAATATTACTATCCTGAATCAAAGTTTTAGCAGAGAGGATGATAGCACAATATCAGTGAGTCACTCATTCAATGACAATAATACTGCCATATCAATGGGCCAGCAATTCAGTAATGATGATAGCAATATTACATCAGTTGGACAAACTATTAATAAGATGGCTGACACCAATCCACCTATGAGCCACTGCTACAGCAAAGTCGATGACAATGCCATATCAGTGAGTCAGACCTATAGCAAAGTTGAAAACAATAATTTGTCAATGAGTCAATCTTTTGGCAATGGAGAAAGCAATATCATATCCTTTGGTGGATTCAATGACGATGACGATATAAATTCTTCTGGAAGGCTGATTTGCAGTTATGATTTATTAATGAGTCAGTCTTCAGGCCAACAATCAGATATTGTGGCTGGAAAGCGATTGGTTGAGTCAAATGCGGATATAGTTACAAGTGCTGCTCAAATGGCTGGCAGTAAGGAATTTATTTCCAAAAAGGAGGAGCAGAAAGCAACTAAAAAGCCTCATTCGAACAGTTTCCCTTCAAATGTGAGAAGCTTGCTCTCAACTGGTATGTTAGATGGAGTACCTGTCAAGTATATAGCTTGGTCCAGAGAGGTAAACTTTACATTATATGAGTTTTATCTTTGCAACTGTGATGTTCACTAGATGACACTGTTCTTCCTTTGCATGGTAGAAGGAGCTCCGTGGTATTATAAAAGGCTCTGGTTACCTCTGTGGCTGTCAGTCATGTAATTTTTCCAAGGTACATTTGATGCCAGTTTTCATTATTGCAGGACCAGCTTGTTGCACAATTTACTGATCAGATTTTGTTTAACTTCTACGTGTAGGCAATTAATGCTTATGAGTTTGAGCGACATGCTGGTTGTAAGACAAAACACCCTAATAATCATATATACTTTGAGAATGGGAAGACGATCTATGGGATTGTTCAGGAGCTCAGGAACACACCTCAGGATTTACTATTTGAAGTTATTCAGACAATTACTGGATCATCCATTAACCAAAAATCATTTCGCATCTGGAAAGGTGTTTTAATTAACTGAGCGGTTAATATTCTAGAATGTTTACTTTTTTCTCATGTTGGCATCTTTTCTTATGTCTTCAGAATCTTTTCTAGCTGCGACACGTGAACTTCAGCGTATATATGGGAAGGATGAGGTCAGACGACTGTCATAAAGAGGTATCCATATGCAAGGTATGATGCAAAAACATGTCTACATCTTCATACCATATAATAGAAGTATGTACTCTTTAATACTTTGCCCTATAAATCATGGTTGTCCAGAATGGTTTTTTTTGGGACGCCATTGACAGAAACTACAGGAGAATTCATGATGCTAATTCTGCACAACGTGTATTAACTCCCCTGAAACCTGTATATTAAAGCCAGAACAAGCTCATTCATACATTACGAATTTAAAGAGCTCAGAGAGAAGTTTCACCAAATTAATTTGTCATGTCCACAGAAGCTATAAATATTGTGGGCAAAGTTGGAAGTGGTTCCAAGCTAGTGACTGCGAAGGAGACATACTGGCAGTAAGATTTTCACCTAATTGGGAGTGGTTAACTCATTAGAGATATACAATTTGTTGAAAAGAGATTATAATATCTGTTAAGTGCTTAAAATGCTAACTTTAAACTACTAAGTCGACAATGCTTATGAAAGTGATTAAAGACATTTGTAATAGATGGGATGCTTATGATTTTAGTTTCTTAATTGGAAAAATAGACAATGATCTCTGCCTATGTTTTGGATTCATGTTTTCTGCATGCATCAACATTTATTATCTCTTCACCCTAACCATATTTGAAAAGCAAGGAAAATAAGAAAATTATACTTGTCGTAGAAAAAATAAAGTTGTGCAGAGAAAGAGAGAAGAAAACAAAAAAAAAAACATTTGAATGTGTTCTTACGTAAGGTTAGCTAGAGACATGTTCAAAATAATTGGTACTTCCTCCATTTCAATTCAAATGACATAGTATGAGTCAACACAAAATTTAAGTTAAAACGGGAGACTTTTGAAACTTGTGTTGCTATAAAAGCTTTTCATTAACGGCAAAATGAGAAGTTTACTGCTAGATGTTTCCAAATATAGAAATGTGTCATTCTTTTCCTAACGGATATGGATTAACAAGGAAATACTGTCACATAAGATTTTATCTGAAGGAGGAGTAGAGTAGAACTGTCCTTATAAAAAAATATCCCATTGTCAAAACTATAGTACACCACTACATAGATAGCATGCTTAGGCTAAGACCGCGTAAACTATCAATTATAAAGAAGTACTCTTAGGGGTCGTTTGGTGTTATGGATAAGAGGAATTAATCCTGTGATAACTGTTAGAATAGGAATAGGTTTATACAATCCTATTAGAATAGGAATAGGAATAGAAATAGATATAGGAATACTAAATAGTATCCTACTTGGTAAAGGATTGTATTCTAGAGTCTATAAATAGGGTCTCAATGTAATAATGTAGACACAACAACAATTCAATAATATTCTTTTTCCATATTTCTCACATGGTATCAGAGCATTGGTGAGAAACTTCCAGTCACCGTGTCAAATTCCGGCGACGACGGTTGGGACTGATTTGTGTCATCTTTCGTTCTGAAGGTGTTGTGCGAAAGACAACACCATCACGAGGCTCGGGAAGCTCAGGCGACCGAACCCCAATTAGATCCACCGGAAAACAGCCCCTCACGCGCCTCCACGCGCCGTTCGAAGGTGGAAGTTTTCCGGCAAGATCTGGTCACGCGTTGGCGCGTGAGTGCTACTCCGGTCATCTGTTTTCGAGCAGTTTTCTTCTGTTAGGGTCGTCCAGTATTTATGAACAGAACCCAGTCAGTTTTCTCCAGATTCGATCACCGGAATTAGGGTTCCGGTGATTTACAGGCAGTTTCCGACGAAAACAGACCACTGTAGGGCAGTTTCTGGCAAGTTCCCGGTAAAATCAGAATTTTCAGGCCACTGCGGGCAGATTTCAGCATTTTCAGACCACTGTAGCAGTTTCTGTCAGTTTCCAGCATACATACCAGTCTATGGAGAATCGACGAAGGAGAGAACGTTTTGGAAAATCTCAATCCAAGTGTAGTCATTGTCATAAACCTGGACACACTCATGACGTATGTTATATTTTGCATGGTCCACCACCCAGTTATGATCCTATTGTTCTAAAGGAATATAATGAGCTCCTTCGAAATCGCGCAAGTAAACAACGTTTTGGAAAACCTCGATCCAAGTGTAGTCATTGTCATAAACCTGGACATACTCGTGATATATGTTATATTTTGCATGGTCCACGACCCAGTTATGATCCTATTGTTCTAAAGGAATATAAAGAGTTCTTTCGGTATCGTGCAAATAAACAAACGTCTCCACAAGTAGTTTCGGTTGCACAACCTGATGTTTCTGTTGCGGGTAATTCATTTACTTGTGTGTCACAGTCTAGCACTCTTGGATCATGGGTCATAGACTCTAGTAATAAATCACTATTGTCTGATATTGTTTATTCACAATCTCTTCCAGCTATTACTTTAGCCAATGGGATCCAAACAAAACCAAAAGGGGTTGGAAAAGCCAAACCCGTATCTTCTGTCACCTTAGACTCTGTTCTTTATGTCCCTGGTTCTCCTTTTAATCTAGCATCGGTTAGTCGTTTGACGAAAGCCCTACATTGTAGCATAACCTTTTTTGATGATTTTTTTCTCATGCAGGACCGCAGTACGGGACAGATGATTGGAACAGGACATGAATCACAAGGCCTTTACTATCTTACCTCTTCAAATTCCTTAACAGCATGCTCCGTTACAGATTCCCCATATCTAATTCACAAACGTTTGGGACATCCAAGTCTATCCAAACTGCAAAAGATGGTGCCTAGTTTGTCTAGTTTATCCACATTAGATTGTGAGTCGTGTCAACTTGGGAAACACACTCGTGCTACATTTTCACGTAGTACTGAGGGTCGTTCAGAGTCTATTTTTTCATTAGTTCATTCTGATATTTGGGGTCCTAGTAGAGTCAGTTCCACCTTAGGATTTCGTTATTTTGTTAGTTTCATTGATGACTATTCGAGATGCACTTGGGTTTTCTTAATGAAAGATCGTTCTGAGTTATTTTCTATATTCAAAAGTTTCTTTGCTGAAATACAAAATCAGTTTGGTGTTTCTATTCGTACTTTTCGTAGTGATAATGCCTTAGAATACTTATCATCCCAGTTCAGGAGTTTATGTCTCACCAAGGAATTATTCACCAAACATCTTGTCCATACACTCCTCAGCAAAATGGTGTAGCAGAAAGAAAGAATAGGCATCTCATTGAGACTGCTCGCACTCTCCTCATTGAATCCCATGTTCCGCTGCGTTTTTGGGGTGATGCAGTCCTTTCATCTTGTTATTTAATTAATAGAATGCCTTCTTCTTCTATTCAGAATCAGGTTCCACATTCCATATTGTTTCCTCAATCACATCTCTATCCTATCCCCCCTCGTGTTTTTGGGAGCACATGCTTTGTTCATAATTTAGCCCCAGGGAAAGATTAATTAGCTCCTCGTGCCTTAAATGTGTCTTTCTTGGTTACTCTCGAGTTCAAAAAGGGTATCATTGTTATTCACATGATCTTCATCGATACCTTATGTCCGCTGATGTTACATTTTTTGAGTCTCAACCTTACTATACATCTTCTGATCATCCTGATGTATCTATGGTCTTACCCATACCTCAGGTTTTACCTGTGCCAACTTTTGAGGAATCTACGATTACTTCTACATCTCCAGTTGTAGTGCCACCACTACTAACTTATCATCGCCGTCCACTTCCAACCCTACCCGTATAATTTTTTCTTTTTCAGTAGGGTCGTGCCATCATTCCGACCCTACCCATATTATTTCTCTTTTTCAATGAGGTCGTTCCATCAATTTGAACTATCCTATATAATTTTTATTTTCTAGTTGGGTCGTGACATCATTTCGACCCTACCCATATAATTTTATTTCTTAGATTGTGACCACTTTTAGCCATCAAATCTAATACTCCGGCATATGAGCATGTTTCGGCCAATTTTTCGATGACTTGTTTAATATCGACTCATCTATTGATTCCAACATGATCCATATACTTTATACTAGATTTTGAGCACTTTGTTGCTCAGGGGGAGTTTAGTAGCCTTGTATGTCGATTATGTGAGTCACTCTATGGTCTGAAACAGTCTTTGCAAGTTAGGTTTGGGAAGTTCAACGTTGTAATTTTATCACTCTGTTTTATCGGCATTATGCATCAAATTCAGTATTTCATGAGAAGATTAAGCACATTGAGATTGACTGACATTATGCATCAAATACAGTATTTAATGAGAAGACAAACACATTGAGATTGACTGTCAATTTTGTGAAGTCGAGTGATCAACTTGCAGATATCTCACCAAGCCCCTCATCGGTCCTCGTGTTAATTACATTTGTAACAAGCTAGGTACATGAATTGTATGCACTAGCTTGAGGGGGAATGTTAGAATATGAATAGGTTTATACAATCCTATTAGAATAGGAATAGGAATAGAAATAGATATAGGAATACTAAATAGTATCCTACTTGGTAAAGGATTGTATTCTAGGGTCTATAAATAGGGTCTCAATGTAATAATGTAGACACAACAACAATTCAATAATATTCTTTTTCCATATTTCTCACAATAACTTTTGAGTGACCTTTAATTCATTGTTTGGTTGCAAAGATAGGGATAACTTATCCCAGGATTAACAATTAGTCCTGGAATAAGTTATCCCTCACTGGGATGCCCAGGATAAGTTATCCTGGGATAAGGTGTGTAAATTAACAAAAATATCCCCCTTAAATTCTATTTTATAAAGGTACCAAGTTTCAAAAAAAATTCTATTTTATACACCACTTTTACATTCATACATATTAACATAATTTTTAACAACATTTATAATAACATTTGCAACCTTAATTATTCGTTTTTTTTATGATAAATATATTTTTCTATTAAAAATTTACATTTTATAAATATTTTCTTTTATGAATATATTATAAGTTGAATTTAATTGCGTAATTATTATGTTTATTTATATTTTGATTTCTCTTAAAATGTTCACTCCACTACTAAACTACATATTTTTCATTAAATAGTTTATTACTCACTTAAAAATTATATTTTATCTATAGTTAAAATATAGATAACTTTAATAATAAATTTTCTTTTACTTTAATAAACATAAAATGAAAGTTATATTTTTGAGCTAAATAAGATGGAAGTTTTATTTTTAAACTAAATAAGATGAAAGTTTTATTTTTAAGCTAAATAAGATGAAAATCTTATATTTAAGCTAAATAAGATGAACATTTTATTCTTAAGTTAAATAAGATGAAAATTTAATTTTTTAAACATACGTCACAATCATGAAAATGCACACACAAAAATATTTAAGCTAAATAAGATGGAAATTTTATTTTTAAGAATGAGTAAGTAAAGCTTGCAAAGAAAATGCTAAAAAAAAAATTAAAAAAGGTGAGGGGGTTTTTGTAAACAAACAACTTATTCTTAAAAGTTATACCATGAATATTAGTTTGAATATGGCAAACCAAACAAGCAATAAAAACTTATCCCAGTATAACTTATCCCAGCATAACTTGTAGTCAAACCAAACGGCCCCTTAGAGATAGCAGAACTTTTGAACTTAGCGGAAAGAATCAATTAAGCTTGGACAAAGTAAAAAAGGATAGCTGGTGATGAGATAAGGATAAGAGTATAAATGTGGAACATAAAGATTTAGGCAAGTGCATGTACACATTGAAGTATAAAGTAAAAATACCTTTTCACTTCGTATTGAATGATACTCCTTCCTCCCATTTATTTGACATGGAATTTGAAAATGCTAGTTTAATGTGCATATCATATTGGAAGGAATTAAAGAAAATGATAAAATAGAAGTTGTAAAGTATTTTAAATGAAGCGAATTGAGTATTGAGGATTATATAGTTGACCCCAATAGTTTGGTTTGAAGTGTAATAGTTGTTTCTTTGTAAGTCAAACATTTAGTTTTATAGGGGAGGTATGACATTAAATTTAGAGTACATTAGTTCATTAATTTGAAATCTTCAATTTGGTGAATATGGTATGGGTTATCAGATATTAGAACTGAGTCAGCTTTTTGAGACGTCCAAACATGAATGTTTGTAGCATATAATATATTGACTAGCAATAGACAACTCATTTTTGTATTGATAAAAGTGAGACTAAGATTACCTGTTAGTGCTTGAAATATGGTGGCTGTTAAATGGTGGAAGCTTCAATCTTCAAATTGCTATGTTCTGTTTCAAGTGTACTTGCCAATTGTCAAAAAAAATGTTTTGTTTCAAGTGAGTGTCAATAGTATGCCTTTGAATTTTGAATAATTCCTCATTTCAACTTGCTCAACAATTTAATACATAATTTGATGATATATGTGCTCGTTCCAGTAACAAACAGTGATGTCTGGAAGTGATGAAATGGCTTTCTCTTGTTAAGCATGTGAAATATTAGTTTTAGTTTCATGGCTCTCTAGTAACCTGAAGGTCAAAAATTGGTAAGGAGCCTAAATTAAGCAAGTTTCGGACTTTATCTTAGCATCTCTGTTGCAGTAATTTGGTCCGACCCATACAACGGAATAACTGTTAAGATTGACTGGTTCAAACTTTTCAAACACTGATCTTTTAACACAGGAAATATTTCCAGATAGAACTTCAGTATTGTAGATCTGAAGTTCAAGAACCAACTTATCTACATGTCTGGGCATGATTATTGTTGTTACTATAATTTATTATACATGGTTTGATATCGATTAAAAACCAAAAGAAAAGGCCTATAGGCTTAACATAGTTTAGTCATTCTATAGTTCAGAAAGAAGTTTCCAAAAATGGTGGTTTAACTGGCTTAAATTTGGCCACACGCTGTAAACCATCTTTAACTAATAATTACTAATTCAAGATGCAGCTGAAGAGGAGTTCATTTCTTAGATGAAGAGTCTGCTCTATAGCCAGACCTCCTTTTGGAATTTGGAAGATAAAGCCTCAAAGAGAAAATCATTATATGGTTTCATCTTTGGTAGCAGTTGTTCCTCTCGATGAATTGATGTGGACAACTGTCTGACTTAAAGTTTCCTTGTCAATTTTGGTTTCATGTGTCATTTCATGTGTTGGTATTGCTTGTTCATCGATTGATGGAGATTTGTGATCCTTACTTTTACCCCATAGGACAATGTAAAGGCCAACAACAATCACAACAGCACCTAGTACCCTGCAAAAAGCATTACATTAGAGTTTGGTGTTGGTCGTAACTTATAAGAGTTTTAGGGTTATAAGGATTACCTTCCCAGGTTCAGTTGTTCACGTAGAATGATTGTACTCAATATAGCTACAATAACCATGCTTAATGGATTGAAAGCTGTGACGAAAACAGGTCCCCTGTCTTTCATTATGACTCCTTGGATATAATACGCGAGTCCTGAACAGAATATTCCCTGGATTGTGACATGACAAGTGAGGAGCTATTAATAGGCTTAAATTTATGAGTTATTGGTAAAACTATGCTTCTAGATTTTTTCCCCCTCACTTCTCTCATGTTGCAGAAGTAAGTTGCTTGCTTACAGTGGTTAGGGAACATTGATCTTAAAATCAATGTCTTTAAATTTGAAGAAGCATTGGCTGCTTCCATATGACATGTTCTGTCACACATAGTAGTACAGAACTGGGCAATTTGGTGCATATGTTGGATAAACATCTAAAGGATGAATACTTCTAAAATTCTTTGTATGCTCGTGTTCTAAGAAAATTTAGCCACATCACGTTTTGTGCATAAGTTTTTCTTTTAATCAAGTAAAAAATTTCAATTATAATAACAAGGCCATATGGCCGTATACAAGAGACATGCAAAAGGGGGAGATCTACAAAATATGGTTCACTTACACTGTATACAGCTGCAAGAAACTTAGAGTCCCAGTTTATGGCCCACACTGCAGGTTTTCCTCTCTCCATTACCATTGCGACTATGGCTCCCTCAGTTGTTCCCAACAAGCATATCCAAGCAGTGAGCGAGAGCTCAGCGGGATAAGTCCGCAGTGTGATTGCCTGGGAATAGGGTACTAGAGTTAGATATAATGCTTACTTGCTAATTACTTATTTCTTCTAACTAAGTTCTGTCTTTACCTGCAAAATCATGAATGCAGCCCAACTGAAGCACCCAATTGTTATCATGATGGAACCTTTGATAGCATGGCTTAGATTTAACCCACCACTTTGAGAGTCATGACCGGCATTTCCTGCTGTCCAAAATAGTTCAACTATTGGGCCTCGTACCAGGGTCATGATCATGGCTCCTGCCACTGTGGCAACAGTCCCAACTAGTTTGGCTTGGCTGCGGATGCTTGTAAGCTTCACCTTCTCAAGCCTAGAATAAACAATATATGTGCCAAAAGAATTCACATCATGATTTGGGAATTGTCCTTTGTCAAAAAATTTATGTTGGGATTTTCTTGTTAATTCATCTTTGCTAGTGATCATGTGTATTTATATCTGTAGAATGAGACAAAGCATATAATTTACCTGAATATCCAGGCCATTATAAAAGTAATGGCAGGAAGAATGTTGCACATTGCAGCTGCAAAAGTTGCTGTTGTGTATTTCAGGCCAATAGAGTAGAGATTCTGGTCGATGACAGGCCTGTTGGTCAAGAGAAACATGCTTATGTTAGATACTGATTGCATTGAGAAAAAGTGAATTTGAGTGTTTTAAGACTTACTCCAGTAAGCTAAGAAGTACCAACTTAGCAAATATTGAGGGCGTCATCTTTGGTCTTACTTTCCTGTTAAGAGATATTCAGTTCAGCCATCATTTTCTCTAGGGGAAATAATAAGAATTTGTATTTGTCTTTCTTCCACTGGGAAATAGACTAGAGTTGATGTTGCAAACACATTAATTGAAAATAGAGAGGGAGGGAGAGACATACTTGTCTAGAATTATTGCAAAAGGAGCAATAACCAAAGTGGCAACTGCATGGCGGTACACAACAAATACATAGTTACTCATTCCTTCGTTCAAGGCCACTTTGGTGAGGATATCCATGCCTGCTAGCCCAAATTGGAGAAAAATGACTGCAAGAAAGGGTTTGGCTCTGTTGTATTGTTCACGTACTGCCTCCATTGTTTACTTGCAACAAAGCTCAACCTCTTTGAGAGCACTACTATTGTAAGCTCACAAGTGCAGCATAAGTAACTGCTGCTTTTCTGTATATATAGACAAATTCTTCACACTATTTTCGTTCTCTCTGCCCATTATCTTATCAGCAGATGAGGACAAAATCTGTTGGATTTCATTTGTGTATATAATTTGTTTAATTAATTACCCGGTAAGCCTTCCACTTTTTAAAATGAAGTGGCCTAGTCACCCGGACCTACTCATCACTTGCTTCTAGGAAAAGTAAACTGGGACTGAGTACCCTTTTATTTTGTTGCAACTTTCTGTTAGTTGTCTACTTTGGATGAGCTCAAATGTTCTTGAATTGGTTTAATACGTTCTTGTATATCTTAATATTTTGTATATTCAAAAAAATTATCTTTATTCCTTGAGATAATACTTGTTCCATGTCTATGCTCATACTCATGGATATTAATTTCTTGCAGAAACTTCTATGGTTATGTACATGACAGATTGACAACCAAGGTGCGTGGGTTGCCTGCTTAAAGAAACTGTGTTTTCTCTTTTGCTATTGGTCCTCATAGTTGATCACTCAATTATCGCCTTGATCCTTGGTAATAATTCTTGTCAAATAGTTATGGCTGTAAATTAAATCTTTCCTTTGGTTCTAAATTTTGATGTATGTAAATTAGTACATAAGTTTTTGCATGCCCGGTTAATTCGATGAGAATCCATGTGTTAGAAATTTCCCCAACTAAGTGGTGTGAGTTGGTATCATAGTTTTATAGCTAGACCATGAGGATCCTAGCTGCTCTTTCCATTGGCAGTGCACCAAACTTGCCACTTCTGAATTGAATATTCTTGTGGGTTTTAAAGTATTTTAAAGTTTGATACGTTGCTGTGGGCAGAAATTTTGTTCCAAGTGCCCAGGTTAGGCACATGAATATTATGAGGTACATCATCTTAAAGTTAAAAACGGTTCCATTAAATATTCACAGCCCACCATTTGTCTTTTTTAAAATTAGTGTTTTGATTGATGCATTCATAATGATTTCTTAGAAAACATAACCAATCACATTGCCTATATCTTTTGCATAAAAAAGCATAGTAGGTTGGATTACGTGCCAAATTGCCAACCTTTTCTATGTTGCATGTTGTGTTGGTAACCTTTTCCATATTATGATTTTATATTATGTATAGAATGATTACAGGGAATCAAAAGATTGTATAGGGGTAGCTAGTATAGAATCTTCTTTATGAAAGAAATATTTATTGACATGAAAAACCATAGTGCTCTCTTACGTCCCACTTGAAAAATCATTGTTCCCATCATCGACTGTGATATGGTCATCCAGATTGACCACTTGAGTCTGTTTTTGACATTATTGTCAACTTTATAATTGATTGACATGGATTGGAGCACCATAGTGTGATCTATTGGCCATCAAGCTAATTGTAAATAGGTGATAAGCTTTAAGCGCTGGACGATATTTTTAAATGTTTGAAATTGATTTATAAATAAGCACATATGTGCATAGTTAAAGTTGCTGAAACTTAGAGGTAAGTAGCTAATGTGTGTGGTAAAATAGTGTCGCTAAGTTGTTCTTTTGTTAAAATGTATTATCATAAAATATGAGTTAATATTATTTTTTGTAAAGAAGAGGAATGGGTGAAGAGGGTATTTTGAGGGGGAAAAAGGTTAAAATAATAAAAAGGTCAAATTAAAAGTGTTTGTAAGCTGAAAAGTCATAAATTGAGAATGATCAACAACTACACTATATTAAGTGTAACTCTACAAGTGGAGTTTGGGAAAGGTAGAGTGTATTAGATGTTATCTCTACCTCATGGAGGTAGCAAGGCTATTTTTGAAAGACTTTTGGCTTAAGTGTAGCAAATTAAAGTATTTATAAAAAGGGAATACAACAATGAAGAAAAATATGTCAAATAATAAATGAAAGTAGTATAGAGCAACCAGGGTAGAGAAACAATAACAACAACAAAATAATATGGTAACTAAAAAGAAAATATATGCATGAGGCTAATACGATGACATACACGGTGCTCTTAGGCTCCCACCAAGCATAAACAAGTTGACAATCAAGTCAAGAGTATATCCTTCTATCCAAAGTTATGTCTTCGGGAAGCTTAAGTTGTTGTCATGTCAAGTCAAGAGTAATACTCCAATGGTCTACCTCTACATTTTTCCATGCCCACTATATCTAACCTTTCACACCTGACTTAGATTCTGCGCACTTCACATACATCCCAGCTTCGGTTCCCTTTCCTCATCTTGTCCACCATAGAGGTCACTCACATTTGTTCTGGATATCATCGTTTTAGTCTTATTTCGCCATATTACTATGCATCCATCTCATCATTCTCATTTTGCAACTTCCATCTTCCGAACATGGGAGTTATTGACTAGTCAATACTCCGCCCCATAAAACAAAGTTGGTCTAACCACCATTCTTTGGAACTTAACTTTTTATCACACAAAACCTCAATTCATCCAGCATCAATATGATGTGTGATATCATGTTGATCTCTCTATTTTCTTGGAGTAAAGACTTAAGATACTTGAAATTTACTCTTAAGATGACATGTGTATCAAATCTCACTTCCACACATACCTCGTATGATGGATCACTAAACTTGTACTTCAAGTAGTTTGTCGTTAGTCTTGCTCAACCTAAACCATTTAGATTTCAAGGTTTGTCTCCAGACTTCCAACCTAGCATTAACTTCACCTGAGATTCATCAATCAGTACTATATCATCCACAAATAACATACATTATGGCACCTCACCTTACAGGGGCGGATATATCCTAGAGCAAGGGGTGTCAAGCGACACCCTTTCGTTGGAAAATTACATTATATATATAGGTCAAAATTTAATTTAATGAATATATATACAAGTGTCGACACATTTTGACACAAGTTGAAGATTTAGTGTAATGGTTAGGGGGTTGCAAAACTTGTTGGAGGTTTTGTGTTCTATTCTTGATAGCAACGTTTACATTTTAACTTTATATTTTGACACTCCTTGATAAAAATCTTGACTCCGCCACTGTCACCTTAGATATGAAGTGTCAATTCATTTATCACAGAGGCAATAAAAATGGTCTAAGCGTTGATCTCTGGTGCAATCTTATCTTGATTGGAAAGTATTTTGAGTCTCATTTCACTATTTTTACCGATGTCTTGACTTCATCGTACATGTCCTTCATCTCTTGATGTAAGCCATCAGTATACCTCTAGTCTCTAGACATCTCTATAGGACCTCTCTTGAAACTTTATCGTAAGTCTTTTCTACGTCAATAAACATTATATAAAGGTCTTTCTTCCCCTCTCTATACTTCTCGATATGAGACCAAACTGGTTCTCGGCCCCTCAGTACACTCTTCTCCGCCACGCTCTCCCGAATTTTTATAGTGTGGCCAAGGAACTTGATATCTATATAATTATTGCAGTTTTAAATGTCACATTTGTTCTTGTAAAGAGGGATCATTGTACTACTTTATTCCTTGGGCATCTTATTGTCTTGAAAATGACATTAAACAACCGAGTCAGTCACTCTAGACATGCCCTACTTGAGCTCTCTCAAAACTCCATCAAAATCTCATCTTGGCCCGATTGCTCTTCCCCTGCACATCTTTTGACACATGAACCTCCTTAAAGTTACACCTACGGTACCCAACATTTTGGTGTCTCTCGGAGTGCTCCAAATCACTCACCCAACATAATGTCTTTGTGCTCCTCTTCGTTTAGAGATTCATGAAAGTATGTTTGTCATCTCTATCTAATAAGTGTCTCTTCCACTAATAATTTGCCTTCCTCGTCCTTGATACGCTTCATCGATCTTGATCCAAATCTCGGGACTTCCTCTCTCACTCTCTGACGGGCCTATACATGTCAGTCTTTTTCTGCTAGTTCAATATATAAGTGTTCAATAACTATTAGTATTGGTTTCTCCCGTGGAACCATAGAAGGAATTCAATCACTACTAATTGGTGTTGTTATTTTTGTCGCCTTAACCGCAAACTTCGCCTCAGTCTTCGCTACCCTTTATATTTTCTTGTTCATCCATCTTTCCTCCTTATCCTTTCTCTCCACCTACTTTGTATAGGCATTTCGCTTGTCTTAGACTTTTCCATTCCACCATATGTTCCGTTAATGACACCACCATTACCCTTCGAAATCTCCAACACCTCTCTAGTTACAACCCTAATACCACTAGATGTCATATCTCACATGGTGTTCGCATCCCCATTATTCCCCCTTGCCTCGATCACCATCAATTTTTCCTCAATTTCCTATGCTCAAGTAGGGGTCGAACCACCACATTTGTGTTGGGTTCAAAATTGGTTAGAGCGTCCTGCGGAAGCTTACAATTGTAAATTGTAAAGATAATAAATCAGATAACAAAAAGTATTCTAAAAACATAATATTATTATATGAAAACTAATATAAAAGAAAAAAATATTAAAACTGATGAGAGAATAAATCTCCCCATAAACTAAACTCTTAAACGACTTCATTGTGGATACTATTGTGTTATGCTATGAGAATAAGAATCTTCAATTTATAGATCTCCAAACTTTTCCTCCAAGGAAAGAATAAATCAAATATGGAAGATAATTATGTTTTTCTTTCAGGAAAAGTTAAAGCATTTATGGTAATACTTTTACTTTTCTTTAAGGAAAAAATGAACTTCAAATAAGGTTAGAAAATCAGGGAAAAACCCTAACAATTTGATCCTCGACCAGTTAAAAGTCCTCTCCTCCCTCTTCCTCTTGATCTCCAAGTCCATCAGCAAAAGCTTATGTCAAGTGGTGAGATTCTCACTCGGAATAACCTTGCAGTCCTTACAAAGGTCTCTATCCACCTTCCTAAGGAGTATGTAATCTATTTGCGTCTTAACCATTGCATTACGAAAGGTAGTCAGGTGGTCCTCCTTTTTCGGAAAGTTCGAATTAGCAATCAACTCAAAAGTTCTAGTGAAATCCAAAAACGACGCCCCACCTTCATTTCTATCCCCAAAATCAAAGGCTCCATGCACATCGTCAAAACCACTAAAAGTTGTCCCAACGTGATTATTGAAATCACATCTCGATTGAGTTGGGAATGATCAACTTATGAAAATGATCAATCTATAGCTTTTGGTTTATTTTGACTCAAAAGCACTTAATTTGTAAGCACTTTAGCTATTTATCAAATGTGTAGATAATTAAGCCAAACACTATCTATTATTGTTGAAAAGATGGTCAAACTTCAGACAAAGTAGCAAGTAAAAGGAGGGTCCTTTTAGTGAATCTCCAGTCTCCACATACATAAAGATTGAATTATTGTAATACTATGAGGTAGCATTGAATTATATGTAAAGCAAATTTTTTTTAAAGAGGACAAAAGAAGATGTGGCTTTGGGATAAAAGCTTAGGTCTTAGTAAAGAATAGAAAAAGGGGAAGGGAGAGAGTGGAAGCAGCGTATGACTTCAATTGTTTGCCAATATGGGCTGTTGTGTCTTCCACAAGAGATAGAGCTTCCATTATTGCCATGGCACCAACTAACATTTTATTACTTTATGATCTCATACCTCATTTCTAGTATTCCTCCTCCTTGATTGGTAGGTAAATATTTATTCGCATCGTGTATTTACATTAGGGATGTGTTTGGTACGAAG